TGCAAATAATCCCCAGCCAAAGAGAATTTAAAAGTTGTGTGATCAGATCCTGCTGTTCCCTAGAACAACTTCATCCATCAGCATGGAGTCAAGGGATGGGAACAGCCAAAAATACTAAAAACCATCCTAAAAATACTGGGTGGGTTTTTAAACTCTGGACTTGGCCCAACACCAAGTCCTGGTCTCTTTTTGGAGAAGGTGTCAGGACTTGGAGCCAGTTTCTGCTTGCTGTGAGGGCTCTTGTGAGTTGGGGTTCAGAATGAGCTGGCACATCAGGCTTCTGGAGATTTGGCTGAGGGAGGTTGCACAGGTCAATGCTTAAAGATGGGGTGAAAATTTTGGAAGTGCAGGGCCTTGGGGTCCTTTCTCAGATGGGTAGTTTAGAAGCTAGAGGGGGGTTTCATGCCAGTGTTATCAGTTTTTGAGGCACTACAGTGCCAGTGCTCTGCATATTTCTGTTCTACAGCATCAAAAAGATGAGAGGAAGCTGGTTTTGAAGCTTTTAACTGATAATTGGGAGGCTCCTGCATACAGACAGGCTTTTGTAATCAACACATGGATTCTTTTAGTTTAATTACAAGATCCATATCTCCTATTCTTCTGGTTGGTTTGATAACAGGCAGTAAAGCTCTTACCAACAGTCACTGAACACAGTTTTTCTTCCATGGTTATAACTTGGCATAGAAGTGAGGCAGAGATTGTTCCATTTAAAATTCTACTTAACGCCTTCCCTTTAACTTTTAGAACTTCTAGGAAGTCTTTATTCCTAACTGCCATTGAGTTTCATGCTCTTCTCCAATCCTTCTTCCCAGCAAACCCTCAGAAGGATGTGTTACCTCACTATCAAAGAGATGGCCAATATTTCAGAGGATGTCATCATTGTCACCAGCAGGTACTGGACCCTACAGAAACCTGAGGGCAGAGCTCTGAACCCAGCAGCTGCCTCTTCAGGGGTTTGTTTGGGCTGCTGTGGTTGTCTGCAGCTCTGATTGATAAAGGATGTGGCAAAGGAGAAGAAATGGCTGCAGGGTACAGAGTGGGTGGCACTGGAGGGGATGTTCTTCTCTTCCTGCTGTGTTTCCTAAACGAGCAAGAGGCTGGGGTGCAGTTGATCAGCCTCTTGTGGCTTTTTCATTTTTCTCAGGTTTTCCTTAAATTATTGGTGGCTGAGGGTTTTGTGGAATCTCAGGCTGTGAGTCCTGATTCACTTTGCTGTCAGAGCAGTTTGGGAATGGCAGAATCCAGCATGGTGGGGGTTGGAAGATCACCTCATCCCACCCCCTGCTCCAGCAGCTCACCCCCAGCAGGGTGCCCAGGG